ACCCAGACTTTCATCATGACAACTTTAGTGTTTTATCCACTCTACTATCGATTTTACAAATTTTTACTAAAGTTGATATTTAAATTTTTTCATAAAATCACTTAATAAGTAAGTGAATAAGTGAGTCAGTTTGTTTTGCAACACTGAATTAAAATTATGATAGATAAAATAAAGTAATATAAGTAAAACAAATTAATAAATAAAATTAAGAAAATAAATTAATATATGAAATTATTTATCTTCAGTATAGTGTAGTGGGAAAGTGGAGCCCATATTTGTCCTAAGTATAGATAAACTCTTTGAGAAGGCTTAAATTTAAAGAGTCAATTTCCTAAAAGAGGAAGTTTTTAAAAAGAAAATATTAATATCCTCCCTGTTTTTATACGTTTTACTTAAGGCAAAGTTAAAATAATTTTTTCTATGTCAATTGTATCCTTTGAATAAATAAAAATGTATGGAGGAAATCAGTTATTTTAAACTTAATTCTGAAATGATCATTAATATTATTTTTTCTTACATTTGATTTAGAATAACCAACTTTTAAAAATATTTTCAACAATACTTAGCGTTGAAACTTTTACAACAATAAAGTTATAGAGAGTTACATAAAAATTTTAATGCAAGATATAATTTAAACAATGGTTCACATTGTTGCAAACGAAGCATCTGTTAGTTCGATTAAAAAAATTTTTTTTTACTCATTCTTGTTTGAAATTTCTCAAATGCTGGTTGTCTTCTTGTGAGATTAAAAAGTGAGAATTATGGATAAAAGCGATTTATATCGTTTTGCTATTTTGAATCATTGGAGAAAGGAGAGGGAAAAGTATCCCCGACCTAATCGTAAGCATAAAAAAATACTGTTAATGTTTTTATTATTTTATTGATATGGAACTAGAATAGTGTTAAAATGATATAAAACTTCTGTACAATGATCAACATTAAACCTAAATTTAAAGAAAATTGTGGAAATTTCATAAATATTAAAAAAAATTTAATTTTTTTAGACATTTAGTATAAATAATACTTTAGTAAAACTCAGAAGAAAAAAAATAATGGATAATTTAATAAAACTTTTAAAATGTTTTTTTTTAAAAAAAAATAGGTAATCTAATTTAACTTCTTTGCTGAATGGCATTATTAAATAAAGAATAAGAGGCAAGTTCAAATAGAAATTTAGAAGAATAATAGGTTTGAGTATAGAATAGAGTGCCACTAAGATTTGGCACTGTAACCTGAAGCTTAATATACTGAATACAAAATACTATTTTATTTTCCTGATATTTCTATCCCGATTTTTTATTTCCTATTATTCTCGAAAACAGAAAAAATCTCACTGTTTAATAATTTTCCCTGTTTTCTGCAAGAACTTGAAGAAGAAAAAAAAACGCCAAAATAAGTGGGTCACCCAATTGTTAACTTTTACCGAGGAATATAACGATAATATAGATTTTATGGGTAAAATCCTAGAATAACCCACCTCTTGGCGACTTTCTGAAATCTCGCCAAGTTGGTGATTAGTACTGGGATCAGCGTTGCTTTTCGATTATTAAAAAAAATAATAATTATTATTACTTAAACAACATTAACAATTTATTTAAGCAACTAACAATTAAGTAATTAACGATTTTTTTAAACAATTTATTTATTAAAATTCTCCTAAATATCTTCCGGAAACGTAGTTTGGCGATATTTAAAAATATCGCCAAGGGTTGGGCTATTCTAGGATCCACCCTATTTTATGTTTTTCTATATCTTATAAAAGCATTAAGAATAAAAAATAAAAAATAAATAAAGAAAAACAAAAGAAATATTACACTAGAAAGTAATATTTACCCATTCGAGTGTTTTAAATGCACGCTGAAAGAATGTGGTGTAATAGTATCCGAATTAGATGTTCAAAAGCTATGAAAAATTGTGTGTTATTTCAAGTTAATACCGAAGGAGCGTTTGCACACACGTTAGAGCACATAGCTAAATCTAAACTCCAACAAATGATAAAGCTTACACCAAGCTCAGATGCTTTCACTCCATTTGTGAAACATTTTCTCCAAACTTTGCCTGAATTTGGAAATCGTCAAACGATAGATACATTTTTGGTTAACAATCGATGAGAGAAGGTAAAAGTTTGATTTCGATATTGAAATGCCGAATGAGATGCTGAACAGTTATGAAAAGGTATGCATGTTTTTATCTGTAAAATAAAGATAATCATGTTCTCATAAGAAGGTGTAGTCAAATCTGACAATTAAATTAAATAATTTTATGCTATTTATTTTCTCTTAGCCTAGGTTTTGTTGAGTAATTATTTTCTCTGTGCTTTGTTTATGTTTGATTCACAAACTAATTTTGTTTTAAGAAATATTGTATACATAAATCCTAAATTTATAACTCTTGTTTTATACTGTAATGTCACTGAAACATCCCTTATTCTTATGTGTAATTACCCTACTGTAATTATAAATTTTAGTTCCACTGAATAGCAAAGGTAGTCGTGGCCACTTCACACCAAGAAGTGTAAAAGAACATTCTTTGTGTTTCACTACATTAGGAACTATTCTCGGTTTTTGGTGTAGTAGAAAACCACTTGGTGTAAAAAAGTTGCCACTATTTTCAGTGTTAAGTTGCACTAAATTTTTTCCAGTGTAGTAATTAAAAAAAATTTTTTTTAATGCTTTGAACAAAATATTTTTTTATCCTTTTTTCGCTTATTAATAATTAATGTGTTTGATAAATCCAGACATTATCATTTAGAAACTATGTTTTATTTCTCTGTTAAAGAAATATACGTGACAGTTACAGTTTAAAGAAGCAGTTTAATTAACGATGCAGTCTTGTAATTTGTTAGAATTTTTTTTCTTCTGTATTTGGTACAATTTTTGAATGTGATACAATGTTTGATTGTATGCTACATAATCAATCATTGTATCACATGATTGAATTATGATGGTATCATTATATCACATGAATTATTCAGTTAATTATTTTATTAAAATGTTCTTTTTCAAAAATATGTATCTTTTTCAAAGAAGATTTTCAACCTTTTTAAGTGAATTTAAATATAAGTTGTGAAAGATTGTACGTACGGTAGTTTGTTGAATTTTCTTTTATTACTAAATTGAAGAAACATTCATTTTAAAACTTATTTAAGCAAGATTTATTTTCAAAACTATGTTTTATTCAGATTTTATTTTAATCAATATTTTAGCATATGAGGATGGTAGCGAATTCGAAGATGAATTCGAAGGGGATGATTTTGATTTGGATGAGATTGAGGAGTAAGTAGTTATCCTTAAAATTTTTAAGCTTTTGTCATTATTTTCTTTCTTTTTTTCAAAAAAGTATACCCTTTTAGAGTATCTGAAATATTTACACAAAAAGCAAACACACAATTAAAAAACAATAAAATGAATGAAATACAGTCAAACCTCGTTATAGTGAACATGGTTTATAGTGAACTCCCTTATATAGTGAACGTAATGTTCGCTCCCTCGCCTTACTGTACACATATAATATTATTTTTTGTTTATATAGTAAACCAAAAGAAGAGAGAAAATTGGATATTATGAACTTTTTTTTGTGTTCGACTGATTTTTTCTTCTTCATTTTTTGGTAATTTTGAAATTTCTACATAAAATACATATACCGATATTTAATACCTTCTATTGAGTGGAACGTGGCCATAAGCATATTTTCTTGTTTGCTTCTTCTATCTCAGTTTCCCATACCTAAGTAAAGGTCATCCTTAAATTTTTTGTACTCAAGACGAAGGGTAGTAAAAAATAAAAGTTTATTACATATTGCTTTTTAATCATTTTTATATTTCTTTTTACTGGTCATTTATTTAAATAATGTGTAATAAAAGGGAGCAGTTAGGGAAAAAAATAGTTAGTGAACTCACTGTTTGAATCGAAATTTCGGACCCTTGAAGGTTCACTATATAACTAAAGGTTTGACTGTATAACTAAAGTACTAGAACTTACCTTTGGATTTATACACATGTCTGCGATTTTTGTTAATAATTCGCAGCAATAATTCTAGTGACATAGCGAAATATGCAAATTTAAAATTGAGGGTGCAAACTTTTAGCCGCCCTCTTGATTGAACTATTAGGACCACATTTTGCAGATTATTTTTCAAACTTTGAGGNGGAACGTAGCCATAAGCATATTTTCTTGTTTGCTTCTTCTATCTCAGTTTCCCATACCTAAGTAAAGGTCATCCTTAAATTTTTTGTACTCAAGACGAAGGGTAGTAAAAAATAAAAGTTAACAAATGTTTTTGTTATTACATATTGCTTTTTAATCATTTTTATATTTCTTTTCACTGGTCATTTATTTAAATAATGTGTAATAAAAGGGAGCAGTTAGGAAAAAAATAGTTAAAATTTTTCCAGTGCGGATATAGTGAACTCACTGTTTGAATCGAAATTTCGAACCCTTGAAGGTTCACTATATAACTAAAGGTTTGACTGTATAACTAAAGTACTAGAACTTACCTTTGGATTTATGCACATGTCTGCGATTTTTGTTAATAATTCGCAGCAATAATTCTAGTGACATAGCGAAATATGCAAATTTAAAATTGAGGGTGCAAACTTTTAGCCGCCCTCTTGATTGAACTATTAGGACCACATTTTGCAGATTACTTTTCAAACTTTGAGGGTAAAAAACTCGAAACACAATTGAAAAAAGACATATTCAGAGAATGCATGTTTTTGTGTCTGATTTCTGTAAATTTAATTATAATATGTATAAATTAAATGGCTTTATAAGGGTGAACCATTAGTTTACATATTAGTTGGAGAAAATCCGATATTTAGATCAAAAGTTTTTAAGAAGCTCATTTTTATTTTGCACCACACTCTAAACCTAAAGAAAGTCTGGAAGTCACATTCAATGATCACTTAAATCACTGGATGTCACACAATTTGTTTTTATTAAAAATCTATTAGCTTCTGAAATATTTAAGAAAATATATTATTTTTATAATTTTAGTGGTGAAGAGTATATGATAGAGATGAAAGCTGAGGTGCAAACCTCTGATGAGGTTGAGGATGATGAGGTTGAGGATTATGAGGTTGAGGATAATGAGGTTGAGGATGATAGAGATGAGGAGTTCATTAGGTATAATTATTAGTTTTTTTCTTTTCTTAATCGTAGTTTAATATTTTAGCTAAAACGAGCTTCAGCTTTTTTTTCCGAGCTTTTTTTTTGACGTATTTCAAATAGTACTTTCGTAACTATTTTAGAATAAAATGTTGACATAAAAATTTAAATGACAAAAAGTCTGCCGATTAGATTAAGTTTTTTTTTAAAATCTCTATGAATCAATGGCGCAGGTGATTAAAAATAAATTTATTGCACATGAATCGAATGAATAAGTCCGTTTATTTATAAAATTAAATTCTTCGCTTTGCCAAAAAAAAAAAAGCATTTAAGTATTTTTAAACAGTTTTAAGTACATTAACTTTGCAAAAATTTGCTAATTAAGATAAAATAATTAAAAATACAAATGCTAAAGGAAGGATTAAGTCACTGGTATAGAAGTATCACTTCTGAAAAGGATTCAAAATTCGTAAAAAACTAAATTTTTATGAAGTAGTTAAAGGTCTAAGAGATCTAAACAATTCTACACAAGAAAAGACGTTTATTTTGATACAAAATAATTTTAAAATGAGTTACATCAGAACATACTTGTTGTAGATTTAAACTCTTTATTTTACTGTTTTAATGTATTTTCTTCATAAACATCATTCATTTTTCCATAGACCATTCTCAATGAAAGAATTACCGAAAAAACAATATGAATTGAATAAAAAACAAAATCTTTGTTCCATAAATTTTAGATTAAAAAAAAATGAATGTGGTTAATAACTAAATGGCAAACATACTTTTTTTAACTGTAAAATATTTTTAGATATTCCATAGACACAATTTTGGAATTTACTTAATATTGCTACTTTAACTATCACTCTTACGACGATCTACATGCTTTTTTATTAAATAAATATTTAAAACAAGTATTTAGAGTAAATACTTCCACAAACATTTTTAAAACATCTAATAGTTGGTTAGTTGATAAATATATTTAATCTTTAACAACAAACTTATTAAACAAAAACACTATATTGAACTTGTAAGTTTAATGTTTCTTTTTTCCTTTATTTTTCACTTTTAGAGATATCTTTACTTACCCAACTTATTTATTCACGGAGGAAAAGATTGCAAAATTATATAAGTTGGATGCAGTACATGATAAGGACTCCATCGAATATGGCATTGAGGACGAGAGGTATTTAAGCTTTTTGAAACGCTTTAAATATAGACATTGTTTTAGAATATACGTAAAGTAATAATTTTCATTTTTGCTCATTTATATATACATATATATGCAAAAAGTTCTTTTTGTTATCTAGAATCATATTTTAAACATGTGCAAATCCGATTCGTGTAAATCCATGGTTAAAAAATTCTATAACTAAAAATTAACCACCTCCAATATTCAAAAAATATTTTTTTAATGAATGTGAATAATTTCACTAAAAAACCATCGAATACAAATTTTGTATTTAATCTTCACCCTTTTATTTCTTCAAAATTTTGAATTATCCAGTATAATATATTATTACCTTGCGCAAGTCCAGTATTCGGGCCAATCCAAAGTAACCTAGAAATCATATGTGGTTCTATACTTCAGTAAGAATGTGCCTTCAAAATATATCCCATTAATGTCTATTTACAGTTTAATTTCATATTTTGTCATCTTCCAACTTAGTTACGAAAATATATTTAAATCATTTTTGCAAGATGTTCATAAATAAGCGACCGTTCTCATTTATCGCTTTATGTTTCCATTTCTGTTTTATTTTGCGTTTTTCTTGATTTTTTGTGTGATAATATACTATTTAAAAAGTTTTTTTTGGTGCTCTTTACACTATTGATGTATTTTACTTTGGCTAAATTGATTAAAAAAACTAACAGAAAAATCATTTTGAATATTTTTAACTGACTTTAAGCAATTAAATTCAAGAAAATGTGCACAAAACAATAAATCTGAAAAATAAAATCTTTCGAATAAATCCATCATTTGACCATTGAAAAGCTTAAATTGACTTTTTTGGAATCTGTGCATTAGAAAATTTCTCTGGTTTTAAACGCATTTTAATCTAAACAAAAAGCTTTTTATTTAAAAAAGAAGCTGCTGTAACAGAACAAAAAATTGCGTTGAGTTTCTAATAAAGTGAATGTTATTTTAAAATTTTAGATTGAAAAGTCGTGATTGTCCTTTAAGAGAGGAAAGAGATTTTTGGGAACGAAGCGATATTGAGCTAACAATCAATGAACAATCTGAACAAGAAGAGCAGGGATGCTTTTGCTTCTTCTCTCGAATGTTCAGGAGATTGTTCAAAAGAAAATAAATCACGACTTGGTCTGGAAGTAAATCACAACTATAACACCTAAAAAGTTGTAAATCTTTCTTCCTGTAGAACATGACTTTCAAGCATAACACAACTGTGACTCTTTAACAGCTGTGAATTATTTTTCCCAAATTCGTCTTTCAAATAATTACATTCTTGTGACTCTTTAACATCTGAAAATTATTTATCAAGAGTTTGACATTCAAATAATTACACTAATGTGACGCTCCACATCTGTAAATATTTTTTTTATCAAGAATTTAACTTTCTAATAACGATATGCTGTGACGCTTTAACAACTGCGAACTGTTTATCAAGAATTGGGCATTCAAATAATTATATTGCTGTAACTCTTTGATAACTAAGAACTATGTATCTAGAATTTGACGTCCGAATATCTGTATTGATGTGACTCTTCAAAATCTGTAAATTATTTATCAAGAATTTGACAATCAAAGAAATATATTGCTGGCGACAACTGTGAACAGTTTCTCAAGAATTGAATATTCAAATTACTGTTATGCTTTAACAACTCAAAACTGTTTATCAAGAATTTGACATTCCAATAATTTTATTACTGTAAGTCTTCAGCACCTGCATAATTTGTGGGAATTTGACATCAAATAACTATATCGTTGTATTGCTTTATCGAGTGCAAACTGTTTATCACCAATTTGTCATTCAAATAATTATGCTGCTGTGGTGACGCATTAAAAAGTGCAAACTGATGATCAAGACTTGGACATTTGAATAATTATATTTCTATGACTTTTCAATATCTGAAAATTGTTAATCAAGAATTTGATACTTAAATAATAATATTGCTGTGATATTCTTAACATCTGTATATTTGTTTTCTAAAGAAAATAAAATATGTGTCAAGTTCAAAGTATGTTTTATTTATAAATAGAGTAAGACATGCATCTAATTTAATATTATTTACTAGTAAAAAGGGATAGTATGCATTTCATATCATATCATGACGATATTTTTTCTACAAAGCACCATTATAATTATAAAAAAGTACTACGCCTTAACATTGGATCCAATTATAAATATTTATGATATTGTAATATGAATATATGATATGCAGAAATACTTTGTAAAACCACTTTTCCTTTTCTTAGGGAAGAGAAACTGTCCTTTTAACCTATAATTTCGAATCGATCAGACATATCGTTCATGGGCTGCAATAGTGGCACAACTCAAAAAACATGCGTTTTGGACTAAGAACGGGTGTATATATGAAAATACACATTCTTTCAGCAGCAATACTTGCACAACTCATAATTCAACTTGAAGGCAATCTTCGTTTATGCAAACGAAAGCATTTTTTATGCATTTTGCTTAGCAATGCAATGAAACTTTAAACCCACTTATCTCAAAACTTGATATTTTGAGTTGTGCCGCTTTCCACCCCATGAGCGATATCGTTATAACGTATTAAACTACAACACCAAGCCGCAAAATTGTAGACAAATTAAGGGTCACACTTTGGGGCATAATAGAATGCACCCCATGCAATTCCGCAGAAATGTATTAGAAACTTGATTTCCTTTAAAGGAAATGTCCACTGTCTTGCGATTAAACGCCAAATTGCTAATCACAAGAGCGCTTCAATCAAAACCCCGCAGTCTGCCATACTGTATGTAAATCAAAAAGGCAAATTATACACTAAATATTTTTTTATTACAGAATTAAACCCTTTTTCTTACAGTATGGTAATTTTAATAAAAATGTTTAGAATTATCACTCTTAATATTCTCCTTTATGTAAAAAGTTTTGGGAAACTGGGAAAAATTTGTGAAAGTTTCTTGTGTTCTGTAATGTAAGCAAATAGGATGCCAAGCCGTGAAATTACAAATGAATCAGTTGGACCACAATAGAGCCTAAATGTTATGTCATTATTTGCATTATAATAGAAGAATATATGTTACTGCTCTAAATATATATATATAACGGACATAATCTTCTCTTACAATTAACCTATAATTTTGAAATTCGAATAGATCGTTATAAAATTATAAACTATCATTCTAAACTATAAAATTGTAGATGAATTAGGGGCATATGAGGGTGCGCCCTATGCAAATATGCGGAACTGACTTAGAAGCTTGATTAACGCTATTTGGGATGCTTAAATCAAATACAAAATATAGGCCTTTTAATAATAATTAATCTTTTTACTTACATTGGTACTACAGATCAGCCCGGAATTTGAACTCGCTCTCTTTAACCTAGCAATTTAATGCTTCATACTGTACCACAGGACCATGTAAATCTGGCTCTTTACTGGGAAGGAAACTTCTAAGTCTTTTCCGTTATTTTGCATGGGGCACACCCTATTAAGGCCGAATTTTGCAGCTCTTAGTGCGTCGATAATTTTGCTGCTTGGTGTAATAGTTTAGTACGTCGAAACAATATATCTGAACAAGCTTAAAAATTATAGGTTAAAATTAAGAGACGATGCAGACCATTATGTATATTTAAAAATTGAGCTATATACTTCTAATGTAAATAAAGTATTTACATTACAATTAGACCCCTATTGGGGCTCAAATATTTCCTATTTAATTTCGCAACTTGGCTTTTCGTGTTTACTATACTGAATTAACTTTACTAATATTGAAATAATTACTGGGGGTCAAAGTATGAAAATTAGAGGTTAAATCAAACGCTAAATATAGACCTTCATGTGTATGCAGGAAAAAAAAGGATTTACTTTACAATTAGGCCATCCTATGCCCGAATTAATTCATCTATAATTTTGAAGCTTAACCTCGCATTTATCTATATTGAGATAATAAATGGTGAAAGTTAGAAAACTGTAGGTTAATATAAAATTATATATATATATATATATATATATCAGAGACGCGGAAATATTGAGAGCTATAGTTTAAAATATTTTATTAAATCAACCTAACTGTAAAAAAGTTTTTTTCTTCTATGATTGGCGTCTAATTGTAGTGTCAATATTTGCTTTAAAATAGAAGTAAGCTCAATTTCTCAAAATACATAATGGCTTACCTTTTTTACCAAATACCCAAATACCCAAATACCCAATTTTTGGGTTTAGGACTACTCCAGCCGTAGCCTTGTAATTTTCAGAACAGATAACTAGATAAGGGAACTTTTGGATCAAGTATCGAGAGAAATNGTATTCAAATAAGAAGGCTACTTATTAGTTAATTTTATTTTATAACCGTCGCTGAATAGCTGACCCAATTTTTGGGTTTAGGACTTCTCCAGCCGTAGCCTTGTAATTTTCAGAACAGATAACTAGATAAGGGAACTTTTGGATCAAGTATCGAGAGAAATTTGCTATCATAAAGAACCTGAAGAAATTAACCCGCATTTGCGTTACATGGAGTGGAAAACAACGAAGTCCTCCCATGGTTCACCCGACTGCAAAGAAACTCTAACCCATGATCCGTTTACCACTGAGGATATTTTACGTCAGCACTGTGGTCGGTGCTTGCCTGTTGTGGAATTCGTATCTACCAGTCATCGCTGGGATTTGAACTCGGTTCACCTTATAGGAAGACGAGCGCTCTATCCTCTGAGCTATAACGGCTCGCACGAAAGTGTAGATAATTCACAATGAGACCTAATTGTATCGTCAATATAACTTTTATAATAGAAGTACATCACTCATTTTCTAAATATTTATATTAGCCTAGATCTTTTCTTAATATTAACTTATAATTTTGAAATTTAATCAGATATATTGTGTTTTAAAGTACTAAAATACCACACAAAGTCGCAAAACTGTAGACGAATTTGTGATTGCACCATAGGGCATAATAAGGTGCTCCCGAAGCAAATTTGAGAAATGACTCAAGAAATTTGATTCCCAGTAGCAGCCAGATGACCACGATCCCATGCTCCTGTAGAATGGCACGAAGCACTAAATTGTTCGTTGTTGTAGTTCATTTACGTTGCACAAGAACTGCACAATGGGCTATTGACGACGGTCTAGGAAACATCCCTGAGGATGATCCGAAGACATGCCATCACAATTTTGATCCTCTGCAGAGGGGATGGCACCCTCCGTTCGGTAGCCCGACGACCTGAACGCGAAGTCGAGCACTTTACGGTACAACAGTTTTGCAAGGACCAATACCGCACACCCATGGGTCATACGCAGACTGATACAAGTGGTCACCCACCCGCACATTAACTACAGCCAGTGATGCTTGACTACGGTGATCTGCCGGGAACCGTGTCTTAACGATCAGTCCACGGCGGAACAAATTGCTCGTCCCATGAATGCGAGTTAGAGTCCCGGGGTGGTCTGCAGTATCTTATGTAAACAAAAGGGCTAATATAATATTTTTATAACAGAATTAAAAGCCTTTTAAACATTGTTTTAGCACACACACAGTATGGCAATTTTAATGGAATATTTTAAAGCATCACTCTCAATATTCCCGTCATGTATAAAATATCTAGAAAGTTTTAAAAGTTTCTGAACATTTATTGTGCTTTCTGCTTATATATCTACATGGCGGTTCATATTTTTCTTCCATAATTACCTCCAATTTTTAAACTTTGCCTCATTTATTGTTACAATTCACCTCTAAACCCTTATAAGGATAAGTTGATGCACAAGGAAGCCTAATTGTGATGTCACTCTTTCCTTTATAGAAAAAAGAGCGTGGAAGCTTAGAAGAATACAGCTCATATTCTAAATATACAAAATGGCCTATATTCTTTCCTAATGTAAACCTATAATTTTGAAACTTGATCAGATAAATTGCTAAGGTATACCACATTATTACACTAAGCCGCAAAATTATAGACGAAATAGATGCCGCAAGTTGTCATATGCGCACATAATGGTGATTACTAATGTCAGAAACATGAAAGGATGCTTCGTCGGAGCGCTTCAGAAAATCAACATCATCTTCTATCCTTCCTACCATATCTGTTGCACACGCCATCCTCCGAGGCCTATTGTCCGGTTCCAAACCTTGAACAATTTGAACTTTGTATGCATGCAGTCGTAATTGTTTTTTAATAACCTTGTACACCGTCGAAATTTGCATATCCAATTCTCTTGCCGCTGATCTCACAGATCTTCTAGGATTGTCTAAAAATGCCTGTCTGACACGCTCAACTTCAAAATCACTTGTGCTCTCCGTGCGACGAAGGGGGCACAAGTGGAAGTTTATTGACAAGGGTCATGAAACATTTTAAATCTCTCTAACCATTTATGTTATTAATTTTAATCTATCTTTATTATATGAGTTATTAAACATCAAAATGGGACCGGGACTTTATAAGCACCCTGTATATATAATTAATCAAGAAACTTTTATAGAATTTGCTCTTCGCAAATCAAAAGAAGCAATAATTTTTTTTTCTCTTTCAGCAGTTATGATGATAATGTATTTTAATCAAATTAAGTATGATCTAACCC